TCTATCTATCTATCTATCTATCTATCTATCTATCTATCTATAACATAATATATTTATAATACTATATGTCTAAAGCTGAAATAGAATACACATATTATTATATTTCATATTAGATTTAGACATGATCAAAGTGACAGGAAAATATAGACGCAAAAGTGTAACAGAATAGACTCTTCGAATGGAATAGTGACACCCAGCCGGTTTAGGTTTTTGGAATAAAATGGGATATTGTGTTACCTTAAAGTAGGGCGCAAATCACACTCTTATCTTTTCATGTCGAGTGAAATAACACACCATACAAAGCGTGAGGTGTGATGTTCTAAAACGCTACTGTGAAGTCTATAGAAGTGAATACTGAAATAAGAGACATCCGTGAACTGAACCCAACCTTGCGTGGCGCCCCTGGCGTCTAGTAGTACCGGGATCGAGTAATGATATAATTATTAACATTATTATGGTAATGGTACTAAATCCAAATTTTGAAAACTTAAACGTTTGTTATTTGTAGTATGCTTTTTTTTTCAAACTTAATATCAAGTAATCATACTATGCTAATGAAATTACATTCTAATTTTGTAACCCAAAGCTTGGAAACATAATGTTATTATTTTTTTTAAGAACACATTTTTATTTTATTTTATTTTTTATTTATTATATTTTATTATGTTTTAATAACGCGTAATCACACGTCAATGACACCACATCCTAATTTTGTAAAATTAAACTCTCGGAATCATATTTTTAAAAAATAAATCTACTAACACGTGATCAAACGCTTATGAAATTAAATCCTAATTTTGTAAAATTTAACTCTCTTAATTAATATTATAAAAGAAATTTATTAACACGTGATCTTACGATAATGAAACTAAATCGTAATTTTGTGAACCTAAAAACTTGGAAATATATTCTTTTAAAATATCTATCAACACTAAAAAACATAATACGTTCTACACTATCCGTAGTCATGTAATAGGCATGCAGGATATCGGGGTTCGATTCCCATCCAGAAAAAAAATTCCTTTGATATTGAGACAGAAGATTGAAAAAGAGGAATAAAATGGAGATCTGTTCTAGTCTAATTAAATAGTGTTCCATTCGCTAAAGGGGGATTGCAGATGCTCAAATGTATATAATTATTATGATATTCATGTGTATGAGCATTTTTTTGCGTGTGTATGTGGGTTTTTACGTGTGTGTGATTGTGTGTGTATGTGATTGTGTGTGTGAGAGTATTTGTGTGTGTGTGTGGGGGG